TCACTGCGGCCGTCGGGGACGTCGTCACCTTTTTGTTCATGCACGCAAACCACACGGCCACGCAGAGCAGTTTCTCGGATCCTTGCAAGAGTTTGACGAAGACCAGTACGTCAGGACAGGTTGGATTTGACTCCGGATTGTGAGTGACGTGCGTTTGGGGACCCTGATTCATTGCTCACATTCGCATGTGCCCAGCATGCCCGTCGCCAACGGCACCTCAAACTACCCCACTTTCACTGTTGAGGTCAATAACGTGCGTTCACTTCTCTCATCGCCTTTCAGCCTCTGGATCTCAACCCAATTTTCGCAAAGACTGATCCAGTCTGGGTATACTGCAAGCAGACGAATCCACAAGACCACTGTGCAGCGGGCATGGTGTTCTCCATGAACGCTGTCGCATCTGGTCTAGAGGACTATTCAGCTTTCGTCGATGCTGCAAAGCAGAGCAATGCTACGTCGGGGACCTCGCATTCCGGTGGCAGCCGCTCTACCACGTCCAACCGCAATGCAGGCGTTGCGTTCACGCTCTTTGCTCTTATGATCGGACTTGCCTTGTAGACGACCGCAAGGACTCCTCATGGACTAACGACATGAATCATGTGTACTGATACGAAGGGCTCGTTGTAGCGATAGTATTCCACTGGGTTATTTAGCTGGGCTGTAAATTGATCTTCACATCCTCATTTCACCTGTGCGCTGTGACGATCGAGTGGTGACCCGCATGTAGTTGCCTCGATCGATCGACGCGGTCTGTGCCCCGCAAGCCGTCGTGAGTGGTTGGCAGCACATCTACCTTTCCATCAAGCTCATGGCATGAAGCTTCATCGACACCAGCTTATATTGATGCAAACGTTGCGCCGCGATGCTGCTCGTTCGTCGCCGGTGGGTCGGGACCAGAGCTTGCCTGAAGGCCATGAGAGCTACAGGTGCTGCCATGCATTCCCCTCCGATTACGTTCTCCGTGTGAAGGATACCTGTTGCCAATTATGTAAGTTCAAGAAACATCTGATCGGGGCGTACGCTGAAGTCTCAATATCACAGGTCATACACTGTTCTACGAAGAGGGCTACACGTCAAATGTGTTGTGTCGATGATCGTGACATAAGCGAACGGTGAGGCTCCTTGTGGTTGAACCTGGTCTTCAGAGGTATCCTCAACCCTCGTCTCCTGGTTCATCATGTCCGCGTCTCAGGACACTTCGACCGCGAACAATGTTGCAGATGATATTTCTACAGAAACACATCACGCAGTGGCTGCGTGGTTCATGGGGCCTAAAGCAGAGAACAGTGATGTCATGAAGAAACTGTTAGGCGAAGTCGTCGACCGCGTTACTCGAGATCGCGTAGAGTACTTTCCAGGCGACCCAGTAAGCTTTGCCCGTCCTGGACTTTGACCATGACATCTTGATCATTGATGTCGTGCACAGGCATTCATCACCGCATCGACGCGGGACTCTGCACCCTACAAGCGCGAAGTGGACGACCTGCAGCGCTACGTCACCCTGCTGGCCGACCTCATGTCGCGATACTCCCTCCCGTTCTTCTCCCCGCGCTACATGGGCCACATGTGCTTCGATAACTCCCTCCCGGCCACGTTGGGATATCTCACGGCCATGATACACAACCCGAACAATGTCGCTGTCGAAGCGAGTCCACTCACGAGCTATGTCGAGTACTGCGTCGGCCAACAGCTATGCAAGATGCTCGGATACCGCACGACCGAGGATATAGCCTCGGAGGGAACGAAGTCGACTTACAAAGGGTGGGGCCACCTCACTTGTGACGGTTCAGTCGCAAACTTGGAGTCTTTGTGGTGAGTAATGTCTGTACGTCTTGACCGTCAACGGTTCACTCACGTCCCGCACGACAGGGTCGGTATGTATAACATCCTCTCCTATTGCCCACTGTCACGGAGCTCATGGGTGTTTAGCGCGTAACCTCAAATTCTATCCACTCTCTTTGAAATGGGCTATCGAAGAGGGGAATCTGGGCTTCGTCGCTTCATCCTTCACCGTACCCCTCACGCGCAAAAACGCGGGGTCTGTCCTCCTCGTGAAGGCCTCCACGCAGGACCTACTCAACCTCAGGCCCGAGGTCATCCTGGACATCCCGTTGCGTCTGTCGAAGGAGTATGGCATCTCGCAGCAATTCATCGACGCAGAGGTGGAGAAGTATCTTGTGCAGACCATCGGACGCGAACCATTAGAGACGAGGTATTGCATCACGCGGGCGCCCAAGGTTCTGGTGAGCAAGATGAACCATTACTCGTGGCCGAAGGGCGCAGGTGAGATATGTTCTCCGTTCGCATTGTTGGGTGAACCTGACACCTTGTGCCAGCCGTGCTGGGAATCGGAAGGGATAACGTCCACCAAGTTGACGTCGACTCACACGCTCGTCTAGACAGCGATGCACTAGAGGCGGATCTCCTATCCCTTGCACAGGCGGGACATCCCATCTACGCGGTGGTCGCGATCATGGGGACTACAGAGCACGGCGCGGTGGACCCCCTGAACGACATCCTCTTGATTCGGCGTCTGCTCCAAGACGAGTACGGGATCTCGTTCCTAGTCCACTGTGACGCCGCATGGGGAGGGTACTTCGCTTCCCTTCTCCATCCAGCGCCTCCTGAGTATAAGGGCGGGAGGAAACCGGACGACGACGGCGAGTACGTACCTCATCAAGCGCTTTCGCCCTATACGGAAACACAGCTACGTTCCATGCGCTACGCCGACTCTATCACCCTCGACCCCCATAAGAGCGGCTATGTCCCGTACCCTGCAGGCGGACTTTGCTACAAGGACGAGCGGTCCAAGTACCTCATCACCTGGACCGGGCCTTATATCGACGGCGGCGCTAGTGACGTCGAGTCTATGGGCGTGTACGGTCTCGAGGGCAGCAAGCCCGGCGCAGCACCTGTAGCGGTGTACGTCTCGAACGAGGTTATTGGTTTGCATCGTGGCGGATATGGCGGGTTGCTCGGCGAGGCGATGTTCACGTCCGTGAAGTTGTACGCGCACTGGGCGACGATGACGCTGGAATCGGACACGCTGATCGTGACGCCGTTCAACATGCTCCCCGCAGAGCGCGACGAGAAATCCGTTGAGGAAGTCGAGGCGCAACGCGCGTTCATCAAGCGTAACATCGTCGACCGCCCGAACCGCGAGCTGGTGCGAGACGCGGAGGCGATGTACCTGGTCAGGATGATGGGCTCGGACTTGTCCATCAACGCATTCGCGTGCAACTTCCGGCTGTCGAGGGGCGGGCCGCCGAACAGGGACGTGGCAGAGGCAAGCTACCTCAACGCACGCATCATCAAGCGGCTCGCGGTCAACCGCGTCGACGACGATGCTCGAAAGAAGCCTATTTTGCTCATGGGTACCGAGCTAGACGACGAGCGGTATGGATCATGCTTGAAGAGCTTCAAGCAGCGGCTCGGGCTGAAAGCGGAGGATCCGGGGCCACTGGCTGGGCTCTGTAACGTGTCGATGTCTCCGTTCCCTACCACTGGGAACTTCGTACGTGAATTAGCCGATGCATTCCGCAAGGTCGCGGAAGAAGAGGTGCAGGTAGCTTTCTTCGATTTGTCTTCTGTTTGCTTCCTGAATTTGGACCCTGTCACAGAATTGCTGGAAGCGGGTCAATGTCGCGCCGGCGATCCACAGCTTCGTCATGCAAGGAACGAAAGATCTATTTCTTACTTACCTCCCGATGTTCAACTGGGGTAGCTATCGACAACAGCTGATTCTGTCCGCGAAGTTGCCATCCGAGGTCATGGAGGCATATGTACGTGCCCAGAGGGAGGATCCAGAGGCTGTCTTCAGCCTACACACCTCGTCAGAGGAGCTGTTATCGTCAATCTTGCAGAAGCGCAGTTGCGTGGTGGATATACACCAAGGGCTACCCATGCTGCACGGGTGCGTGCGTCTTTACATTGGCGTGCATAATGATTGACCGACCTGGCAACACAGGGTTGCTGGTGATCTCAATTCGTTCTCGCGATCGCGGGTCGAACTGACGGAGATCACTGTCGTCAAGCACACCAAGCTGGCGCCCAGCGCACTCGCCGATGACTATCCTCCTGTCATGTCGTTCTTCCTCTACGGCTCGTCGAAGGAGCAACACATCGAACATGTGCTGCTCAAGAACGACAATGTTCAGCTGAATTGTAGTCGCGTGGAGCTTGACTTCGGGCCCAGTACCGAGCGCATCCTCAACGAGATTGATTCCAGCACCGGATTCGTCCTCACATTCGACGACCTGCGTGAGCAGGCCATGCAACCGTTCGGAACACGCCACAAGCCGGATTTCTTCGCTCCCAGTAGGACGTTCCAAGTATCCCTTCACATGGATCCGTGCGCAAGCCAAGGACTGGACGCTGTCGACATGCATCAGCTTTTCGACCATCTCCGGCTAGAAAGTCCAGTAGCTCAGGGTACTATCACCTTGGGAGAAAGCGTGTACGTGGACTTCGCCCATCTCAACCGCGACACGGTTCCGCAGCTATGTATCACCCCCACGGAGAAGCTGACTCGGGACCAGCTGCTCTCGTCGGTCATAAACGATTACCAGAACATTGTGGATGGCATTTCCCGCGTCGTCGCGAACGAGAAAACTACTATCGCGCCAGACATCGAGGAGCATATCCTGGCACGAGCCACGTTGCCCTCAAAATACTCCCTGGGCAGGTTCGGCGAGGCACAAGACGGTCCAGCGACCGACAGCAAAGTGCATGTCAGTCGGTTTACGGTCCCCCATCCCAGTGACGATCATAGTCGTCAGATGATGGTTCGTACTGGCTGGAAGGATATGTTCGACGAGACGGTGGCAAACTGTAGGAGTCAATGTGCGGACAGTCGAGCATAGGTTTCGTTGGTAGACAGTCAAATAGTGAGCATCGCAATGTGACAGGAAGAGTAGACTGGTATTGTCGTCAGATGGTGGAAGGGAAGGTCTCGCTGTACTTAGGTGATCGACACGCACGTCGCAGAACTGGGCAACGACAGGACCCCGGGCAAGGCGCTTATAGGTCCGATCCGAAAACCCCGGATTTTGGGCCCTTATGTCCGCACGATTTTGACCCCTGTTATGTCCGCATCAGGATAGGACCTACCTGTAGGGGTGCTTTATGGCCGCATGACGGATCGGACCTCTCAAAAATGCGGTAAAATCGGAGAAAATGCCCAAAAAATCGCTGCATGCCCTACACATTGCGTCGGAGTAGACTACCAAGGAAAACGCCCACATTTGTCTCCCTTTATCGTCAAAACGGTTGCATGAGTAGCACATACGCATAAGCGCCGAGTACCATATCTCGAGCGCCCAACATTCGTAAGTACGAATGTACTCTAGGTGGCGCGTCACAAGAGTAGTCGCTAATTGACACGGATGGTGAGAGACAATCAAGCGGGCAAGCCAGTCGGTTGCGAGATGATAGCGAACATGGGAGGTCAGGAGTACTGATATGGTCCTTCATGACTTGCCAGTTGGTACTCGAGGTCGACGAAGAACCTGGCGCATCTTTAGAATGAGGTCGACTGTGACATTGTTTGTAGCTGGTCACTGCCAGTGGCCCTAAGGCTCGTGACCGATGGCTTGCTTGACCGCGGCGATGGGTCGCATATTTGAAGCTCGCGAACAATGGCGTGTAGCCGACCGAGACGAATGCGAATGCGAGAAAACGCTCTCGGTAGAGTACGAGAAATGCGCCCCTGCGAGTCAAACACTTGGCCAGTATGCCTGGGTAGCCAACATCCTATGGGCCAGTTGCTCTGGCTGAACCTGGCCCAAGCGGTACCACTACGACCACATCGCGTCTCATGAGACGTGCAGCGTCGGATGCCCTTTCCCAGCTACTGAAGCACTCACCAGTGGTGTTCTGGTGTTCTGTCACGATCGCCTTGCTCACGTTCTCACGTCCGCGCATATCGCGCTGTGTTTGTTGTCTCCGCCGGCTTGTCCATGCCGCCGTAGCCAAGCATGTCAGGCACAATGATTGAGTGGCCCCCGCCTTGAAGAACGCATACGTGTCTCCGGACGAGTGGTAGCCTTCGAAGAACGAGATGCTATAGTCTCCTGTATCTTGGTCAGCCAAATCAGGTCGAACGCACCCTACTAGCAATCTTCATGTGTCCGTGTCGAGCCATCGGCGCGTGATCTGCGAGAGAGGCTAACGAGACGCGTTGCGCGCGTAAATCCTACACTGCGGTGCATGAATTCAGCGTGAATACAGCTATGTATAGTATTCTGTAAACAGGAGGCGAGACTCACATTGTAGTACAATACAAGCTTGGCCAGTCTACCAAGTCCACATGACGGACGCATTCAGAGAATCTGCAATTCCGGGGTCCCAATCATAACAAGCAGTTGCATGCGATCATCGTAGCGAATCAGTAAGTTATCTTCCAGGCCCGAGCAGATACCATCACCCGCGATGCCATCCACAGAAGTTAGTAGCATTGCTTAGCTGAGAGATCACGACGTGAAGTATGCTACGTACCAATCTCGCGATACTGGCTTCGCCGTCAAAGGCGACCACGAGGTCAATTTATGGCCGCATACGGATAGGACATGCGAACGTGACAGCATCTATGGCCGCATATGGATCGGACATGGCG